AATCAAAATTATTTTCTACTCAAACAGATAAATTATGTTCACTGAATTATTTATACTTCCTACATTTTTCACAAAACAACTAATTTATTTTTTCTACAGTATTTATTTCTTCTTGTACTGAAACAACATAAACTCACATTTCCTGTAGGGTGCCCATGGTCTGTGCTTGTCTGTGTCTGGAGTCGCCTTGGATCCTCCTCGAACCCGAGGGAGTCTGACCTAAATCCTCAGCAGCTGGGTGTTGCCAAGTGACCTTGATTTCATTTTAATTTCTGTGATCTGCGATTTAAATCAGATAGATTTGTAAATATACCTGAAATGGAAAAAATAACAGAAACAGCACATTAAAAAACACTTCCAGTTTGAAGTAACTAACACTTTCAGACAGCAGATACAAAGGTGAGTCATTTCGGGTTGTATGCCGGTTAGCAGTATGTGTTAAATAAGCTTTATTTCGTGTAGGTTAGCGTGACAACAGCAAAGAAACATGGAAGAAGAAATGATGCGAGTGGAAGAATGAGAAGTAAAAAGAAACATACAGGGTGTACTGGTTTTATTAGCTGTGCACAACCCCCACTGGCACCAACCCCACCAATCAGACTCAGCCCCCACCGGCACCAACCCCACCAATCACACTCAGCCCCCACCGGCACTAACCCCACCAATCACACTCAGCCTCCACCAGCACCAACCCCACCAATCACACTCAGCCCTCACCGGCACCAACCCCACCAATCACACTCAGCTTTGCCTTATTAGACACAGGAAACTATCAAACAGGTACAATGACAAATCAGAAGACACTGTTGAAAACTTTCCCATACACACCAAGAACATGTCAAATCACCTCCAACACACTGAAAGCACGACCAGATAATGATAAAACACAAGGAGACTGTAACCCACGCAGAGTAATGTGCAGTAACTAATATAGAATACCTTTCATTTGCATGGCACAAATGTACAAAGAAATTAGGTGTGTCCCCTGAAACAGATTCAACACAACACTAGCATAGCTCTAAGCAGACTTAATACTTTGATGCAATGAACAGTTATTTAACTGAGTGCCGTTCTTCTACTAGAATGAGTTTTACTTCAGACAACTACTCATCTGCAGTGGTTTTGTATTATTCTGTTTTATTTTTGTCCAGTAGAGGGCAGTACCTGTTTTCCCTTTGTGGTGGGAGAAGAAAAAGGGTCATACGCAGAAAGTGGGGAGAGGAACTACACAGACTAGCTATGCTGTGTTCCATTTGAACTTGTGACTCGGAAATTTCGGAGTTTCTTCTGACCTACGCTGCGTTCCGAGTTGCTAGTTGGAAATTTCTACTACTGGAATGCCCCCTGAAGTCAGACCTCGACTAAAATCTTGGAACTCGACCATTCCTGCTAAAACTTGTACGGATGGAGATGCATCTCCCCTCCCAAACAATATCCCCTCCGTCCCTCCCCCTCTCCACCTGCCACTTCCTGGACGCCATCAGCTCACCTCAATTGAAGGAAAATAAATTTTCATTTATTTCATGTTTATGCTTTTGTATGTGTGCCTTTTCATGTGTATATTAGTTTTATAATGATTGTTATTTGTCTGGGTCATTAGTTTGGTAGGTAGATAAGTTTAAATTGGCAATCATTTGGGGCTCTGAAATGGATTAAATTCATTTATATCATTTCTTATTGGAAAATTTGACTTGGACCTCGACCAAATTGCAACTCGACCAACTTTCTGGAACGAATTAAGTTTGTATTCCGAAGTACCACAGTATTTTGATAATTTGGAGATACAAAACACCACGGTGAACTTCAGGAACAGAACTGGCCAAAATAATTAACAAAAATAAGTGAACTAAGTGACCCTCAGCTAAGAATAAACCGAAACCAAAAGAAAATCGCTACCCTGACTGTCTAACTAACCACAAAACCAGAGATAAAATGATACCCACGCAGAAAATGGCAGCTACTTACTACAAGCCTTGCACATAATTACATGCAATATTTACACAAATTACAGAGAGCACCCAAGTCTGAATCGAAATCCAAAAGACCACTGAGTTATTTAATCATTTTGGTTATTATTTTACCCACCAAAGTTGGTTGGCAAATGGAAAAAAAATTCAGATTTCCCATTTAAGAAAAAAAACAGGACCAGAAGAACGCAATTTATTATGAAATGAGGCAACAAATTTTACAAAAGGGAAAAAATAAATAACCGTTTGTGCTGATTTTATAGTTAAATAAATGCGAGCTATATGTTCTGTGTACACTTCAGATATTAACAATTGTCTACAGGCACCATAATATTGGTGAAATTCTCAATGAAGCAAAAATAACTAAGTAAAGTGAAAATTAAACAAAAAACTATTCAAAGGATTCATTGAACCGTCCAGTATAAATCATGCACCTGTGACTGCATGATCCCTAAAATCTGACCCCAGCTCCTAACCAAGATCCTGACTGAATGTGGCCCAAGCAGACAGTGCTTAGGTTCTTACCTGCTGAGGAGAGCAGAGGCAGCAGAGAGAAGAAGACGAGGAACAGGCAGCTTCTGCTGAAGGTTCCAGCACCAAGTGAAGACTTACCTCACACCAGCCGCCTCAACCCCACCAATCAGAATCAACCTCCACTAAACTCAACCTCACCAATCAGACTCAACCTCCACTAAACCCAACCTCACCAATCAGACTCAGCCTCAACTACTGTAGATACAATCCTCCAATCAGACTCAGCTATGCCCTATTAGACACATTGCAGCAAACTCCCTAACCGTTTAAATATAGGTACAGAGACTAAGCACTTACCAAGAGTGTGTTACTTCCACTGACAAGTCCTACAACCTGAAAACACGAGCAGATGCTGATAAAGCACAAAGAGAGGAAAAGACTGAGAAATGGTCTCCCCTGTTCAATGCTTTCAGAGTCTGTCCATGCCTTTTAATTGTTAATATTTGTATAAATTTTATTAATCAATGATTAAAACTTTTGAGCTAACTAAGAATGTGGTTTGGCAGCCTAACAATTATTCATTCTATTAAAGCGTAGGTGCTATTACATTAATCTTATATTTAAATGTTGCAGATTCAAATTAACATAATAAAAATGTGTGAATCATTTATTTTTTTCTAGATTCTGGTTGCCTCTCCTGGAGCCGACACCTTATCGTGGTGGGGGGGTTTGCGTGTTCCAATGATCCCAGGAGCTAAGTTGCCTGGGGCTTTAAGCCCCTGGTAGGGTCACCCAAGGCAAACAGGTCCTGGGTGAGGAACCAGACGAAGTGCGGCTCACAAGACCCCTTATGATGAGTTATAACATGGATCCACGATTTCCCATGCCCGGACGCGGGTCACCGGGACCCCCTCCTGGAGCCAGGCCTGGGGGTGGGGCTCCATGGCGAGCGCCTGGTGGCAAGGCCTACACCCATGGGGCCTGGTCGGGCCCCACGTGGGCAATGACAGTGAGACCTGGAGTGGCGTGATTGGGAGGAACGGCCCCCCTGGTCTAAACCCGAGTGGTGTTCTGTTGTTGGACTTCTGTGCTCGTCACGGATTGTCCATAATGAACACCATGTTCAGGCATAAGGGTGTTCATATGTGCACTTGGCACCAGGACACCCTAGGTCGCAGTTCGATGATCGACTTTGTAGTCGTGGACACTCGGGTGAAGAGAGGGGCGGAGCTGTCAACTGATCACTACCTGGTGGTGGGTTGGCTCCGCTGGTGGGGGAGGAAGCCGGCCAGGCCTGGCAGGCCCAAGCGTATAGTGAGGGTCTGCTGGGAACGTCTGGCTGAATCCCCTGTCAGGAGGAGTTTCAACTCCTACCTCCGGCAGAACTTCTCCCATGTCCCGGGGGAGGCGGGGGACATTGAGTCTGAATGGGCCATGTTCCGTGCCTCCATTGTGGAGGCGGCTG